TCAAGTACTCATCCGTGACCATCATCTGAAAGAGGGTAAAACTGCTTCATTCGCCCCTAGTTATTCCAGCTCCCACGCTGTACTCATGCAAAGGTTCCTACCATACTTTGTCCTTGACATAAATCAAGTGCTATTGATTTGCTCAGAAATAGGCTTATCAACAGTCGGGGCCCGGGTGTACAGAGTAACTTGACATCTTTGTTTTCAGCCAGAATTCTCACGTTGGGATGGCACAAGTCAATTGGTACTGCGAACGGGTAGGAGGAAGACGTACACCCGGTACCACGGACATGCGAACCACGATTCATGGACTTCACCTGACAGATCAGTCAATGGTCTAATCGCCAATACGCACATTCCAAAGTCACAAATCTGGAGTCCCTCATCATTAAAACTCCATAGACGTTGAGAGTCGTGTCAACAACATGAACCAGAACTAGCATTAGCTTCCCCTCGCAGTCGAGAACGCTTACACCTGCCAGGAGGAGCAGGGCGATGCGAGCCCTCAAGTTCACCACACGCTTGCATGTTGTCCCCGCTTCGGCTCGTGGAGTGTTTGGGCGGCTTGAACCTTGCCAGAAATAAGCCTAGGGTCTGCCTCGCCTTGACCAGCACGCGGGCTCCTCTCCCCCGTCCGTGCGCCGACTGCCACACGCAATCCACGCTCTTCTTTGGCGTCCCGGGTGGTCCGTCGATGATGCTCAGGGCCCTCCGCAATCCAGCACGATGCCGAAGATCGGCAACGCACTGTTCGGAGTGTTTCGGCGATTAAAGCGCGGTGGCCGACGGAACGAGCCGAAGCACTGTGATTGGCCAGAATGCCCCAAGATGCCAAGGCTGTGGTCTGACTAATAAGCCTCGAGTCTCAACTCCGTGGCGAATCCGATTGGCTGAAATGCGATCACTCACAAGTTCGACGTCAAGACCAGCGGAGGACGAGATGCTGCCATCATGCACCATGTGAGCAGTCGCCCTGACCAGGAGCAGAGACATGACATCGAGCGGCGAATGGAGATCAGGAGCCAAGTTGCTAGCACTCCCGAAGAGTCGCTGGTTCCAAGACCCTCCTCTCCGGTCACTGGTTGGCAAGGGAAACGTGCACCACACAACCGTTGCTTTTTCCCATGGTTGGAGGTCCAGCCCAGGAATATAAAGCGTGATCGTGTCCCACCAGCCAGAGTTCTTTGCTTCGCCCAGTCTCCCCAGAACTATTTGCCAAATATCGAAGTGCCCGAGATCTTCACGCCTGAGAAGATCGCGAGACAAACGTGCGCGTGGTTTCACATAGATTGTTGACCCGTTGCATCGCGACGGCTCATCTAAACATACCGCTGTCTGCACCCACCTACACACTGCCATTAAGAGGTCTTCCGGACCATATCAACATTGATGTTGAATTGCGGCTTATCTGTTTTTTTCACCGTTGCGTTGACTCTCTTTTTGAGACCTCCGTGTAGTATACACTGCTACGAGACGATATCCTCCCCGCTGATAGACGACCCGTGAACGCATTTTTTCCAAAGCTATTTCAGTAAGGCATCGTGAGAATTCGCCCATCATGTCGATTGAAGTCAGCCGTATGACCGTGGAAGACATCCCAGGTGTGGTTCAGTGCGTTCAAGATGCGTTTGAAGACGACCCTTATTTCCGCTGGGTATTTGACCCTGTCAAGGTATGTGCCTTATCAGCAACTAACGTCGAAATCGCATTAGTTGGCAATTCAGTTGACTAGAGTGTTCGGCTGTTGTTCTACACACACACAAACACACTGGTCATATTAAGACTGACATTTTTCTTTCTTTCGCGGCCGAGGTTTTCTTCGCCCGCGACCAGAGGGACTCTGGGTGGATGTTGTTGAATACAGTTTTCGAAGCAAAGAAATACCATCTCTATTAGGAATCGTTGTCTTTGGGGTCTGAACAATGGCCTCTTCTACGTCGCTAGAGAACGTATCCCGCAACATAATGGCAAGGATGTGTCCGAAAAATCACCATCGTACCGCGTAGTGGGTGTTTCCATGTGGCTGCCGCCGGAAACCCCTGACCACAGCGGAAGCTGGACGTCACGATTTCAGGACTGGCTGCTCAGCGTTCGCCAACTCATCACCAACATTCAGTTCATGGGTCATGGTGGGCTGCTTGTCCACAGGTACTGGATCTGGAAGGACTCCCAGTTGAAGGCAACGCAGAAATTCTGGACTGACCCTCGAGGATACTATCACTGCAACGTGGTTGCAGTGCTGCCCGGCATGCACGGGCAAGGAATTGGAAAGAGGCTAGTGCAAGTGGTCACCGATCAAGCTGACAAGGAAGGCATCAAGTGTTACCTGGAAAGCTCCAAGGCAGAACCCAATGTCAAGATTTATGAGCGCCTGGGGTTCAGATTTGTAGGGGATTTGGATTGCAATGACAATGGAATACTGTGCAAGGTGAGACTGCCTATACGATCGGCGACTGTGCACGCTAAACTAACATATGCTCTGCCGCAAAGTTATACTGTATGACCCGTGATCCGAAGCCATCGACAAGCGACAAGGCGGAGTAGGAATGGACAAGGAAACGCGAGGCCGGCCATATAACATCGACAAGATAAGTATTCTGAGCCTTCTTTTTTACCGTTTTTAGTTCTTTTTTCGGTGGTATGTACGGAGTACCCCGTAGTACCTTCATGTTCGGCATTCATTTCGATCTTCTGTCGCAGGTCCCGGCATTTTATCGTGTATCAAACCTGCATTAGCATTCCCTTTAGGCTCTTTTCTTTTCTTCTCCAGCAGAATCTCCCAATAGTCAGTCCTTTCAGCAACTTGTTAAATCATAAATAGAAATCGCAGTTCAAAGATGTAACTGCTGGTTGCTTCATCACCAGCTCCTGCACCCAGCTGCTAGTAATAGCTCGTAGCACGATCCAGGCGCGGATGAAAATAGAAATAGAAATAGATGCGACCCAACACGATCCAAGTTGGTTGCTTTGGCGTTGTAGAACAGCATGACCGCCGGCTGTGCTCAAGTCGTCGAGGTTTTGATTTCCTAGCGCGAGACATGAAACGCCCGAGAACAAACCGCGCCGCCGAGATTCAACTAGTCAACGACCCGAGCATGCTCTCTCGAGTCTCTCTGGGTCTCTGTTCATCAACTCGCAGGCTGTCTCTTCTTCATGAACGTGTTTGAACGATAAAAATAACCCTGGCGATCCCCTGGGCCGTGGTCAGTTATGTAATGGTGCCGTCAGCAACCTCCCTGGCTCGCAAACGACAATCGAGACCTCCACCGAACATCTTCCCTTTAAAATGAACACGGGTGAGCGAAGCCCCCCGTTACATCCGCACGATGAGGATTAGCGGCTGAGAACAGCAGCATAGCCAATCGCCAGGGCCCTTGCAACGGCGCCGTCGTCTTTTCTCCGCACGCTCTGGGGCTTTGGAACTACCGTGATCACGCTCAGATCCGCAGGACGCAGTGTGAGCTGTCCTCTCCACAGGTTGAGGAACCGACTCTCGTCGTGGGATGGTCGTGATCGACCTGCCCGGTGGTTCTTCAGCCCAACTTTCAGGCGAGAACTGGCAAGTCATCATCACGGTGACGCCAGCGAGACGGATAAACGAGAGGAAGAACAATTTCCTTCATTGACCAATAGAGGATTAAACAAGGATATGACCTTGCCCAGGCACAACCATTTCATCGATTCATTTGCGATTATTCCTTGCCTAGTTTCTCACGCGACTCCTGTCTCTCAACCTCGGGTCGTTGACTTGCCTGCACCGGCGGCCAAAGCTCCAAAGCAAAACCCAGCGGTCCTATCAGCAAAGAGGAACGCTGCATGATAGGACAAGTTTCTGCGTTTCCGTTCATCGCCCTAGCTCCGGAAAACTATTCATATTTCCCCTCCAACCAGTCTCGCACATCGACTAAACCGATTAGTCTGCATGATATGCATCTGGCAGATGCATCTGGATGAGATGAACTCCATGGGAAAAGCGCACGGAACTAGCATTACGGAGTACTATAAGTAGGTCTCTCTGGAAGACAGAGTTCTCCAAGTCGCCCCATATCTGGCTTCCCATCACAAGTTAATAATAAACCCAAAGCAATAATAATTTGCGGCTTTCCAATATCAGCCAGGGATCAGCCCAGCTCTGATTCATTCCAACTTTTCTTCCTTTTTCCTTTTTCTTTTTCACAAAAACGAATTTCGTATGGCGACACGAATGATGAATTGAGAAATGTCTTGCTTTTTCGTACAAAACTCCTTTTTCCAACGTTGCTGGCTTGAATTGAGCGCCACGTGCATTTGCAGATTCGATATTGACTGTGAGACCGCGAGTTGCAATCCCTCTGCATGCTTGATAGTTCATGATTGACTGGGCTGACAAATATTTTAATCCTGGCTTTCTTCATAGAACGACCTTCCTTGATCCTTGCTAGCATCGTCTTCTCTGCCTTTGTTCTCACCCTGAGAACTGTATCCAGTTGAAAACGCGAGAATCGTTGCGTTTATCCACGACCTTCCTTGCATCTCGCGTGCAAAAAGTCCCATTCTTGCATCACACACGCCGATTTTCCACAGTTCCATGCACCGCCACGTCCTGTGAGCCATCCTGACTTGGGATTAGAATGACGATCTCCCGAAATTCCCCCACATTCGAATGATAACGTGAGATAGCAGCCTTGTTAAGACTTGGGCAGGATTTTAAGCCGAAAGATTCCCATCCACATGTACAGCAGCTTGGGTTTCCTTTCCTTGCCTTCCCCTTTTTTAAAAGTCGCTCATTTCTACCTTGCCTCTCAACGCGCATACACTCCTTTTGTTATTCCTACCTTCCGGCTTTGGGGGCTTCTACATTCCTTTCGATAAAACAGCTGGCCTGTTCACATTGCAGTGAGCTGGCTGGAACGTAGTCTCTGCATCTACCAGCGGTAATTCGGGCACAAAACGGTCGAATGCATACAACACGGTTATTTTTTGGTCGCTTCAAACCAGTTTAGGGACCCAAGAGAGCAATGCGCCGAGTACGAGCGGAAATCGGCACTGCTGGAGTCAATGAAGACGATGATGCTGCCCAATACCTACTCGAGGAATTGAATTCAATCCGGCGATCAAAGAGTGATCGTGTCAGCCAAAAAGTAACCAGTCGAGGTGATCTATGGCCGCAAAGGGCCTCCTTGTCTTTGTATTCCTTTCTAGAAGGATCGCGCAGCTGGGCAAGCAAGCTGGTCGGAGGCCATAACCGAAACCCTGCAAATCATGCAGGTCGAAGACGACCTTTGTCTGTTCGCTCTGTGAATGAATTGGGCGATTCCGATATATCTTTGGAGATTCGAAAGAGAAGAGGCCCCGGAAACGCTGGAAACCAGTCTCCTAACCGTAACGGCAAGGGCCCTAAAGACAAATCCGACTTTGCAAATCCACATGGAAATTGGAACGGAAACCCTCCTGGTCTCGCTGGCCCTGCTGATCCACCTAGTTTTGGTCCGCCACCGGGAATTCAGCCTCCGCCTAATGCCCCGGAACCGCCGCCGCCCATGTCTTTGACTGACCAGATAACCGCCTCGACGATAGTACCCATTGGTACCCAAACCACTCAGCCATCGGTACCAACCCTTTACATACAGACGAAAACCGTCGTTTCAAAAATGGGAGAAACAACAGGGCCTGGCGACATTCCCAGCAGTCCGTTTGATACGACTCCATCTTCAACTTCAAGTCCTGGCAATTCAAACAACATTCTCCACGATCCTGCTCGTGTTGCCAGTCTAGCTGTTGGTGTTACGAGTAAGCAGTCATCCGAAAACTACGTTCTACGAGCCATTTAATAACTGATATGCTCTAGTCGCCTCACTTATGCTCCTGACTGTTATTGGTTGGTTGATACTGAGATGTTTTAGAAAGCGGAAATATCGAAACAAATATCCTGTTTATCAAATGACTCGACCCGGTGAACTAGATGGATCGTGGGCCAACGAGAAGGACCAGACTTCAAAGACGGGTGGAGGGTTTGAATGGGATCCAGAATCTACGTTCGCGCCACCTTTCTCAAAGCAACAACCATTTGGCCATTCACGAGGCCGTTCATCTGCTTCATTAATATTTCAACGTATTTTAAAGCACACCCGGATACCCTCACAGAGGAGATCAGCTCAGTTCAATCCTTTAATACACGATAAACCGTTGCCGAAACCCCCCGACACCGAATCCCAGCTATCCCAAACGGAGCACGATTCTATCGTGAATGATTTACCAGATATGCCCGAAATGCCCGAAAAATCGCGTGCCACAATCAGCACAAGATCCTCAGAAGCATTCCATCTTGACCTTCCATCTCCGCGACACTACTTCCAACAAGACCGGAAAGGACCGGGCCGTGGAAGTATTTCGAAATTCTCGTGGTCAACACCAACTACAAAGTCAACGTCAATCGCGTCGGTCGCTCCGACGTATCGATTACCTTCGTTAACAAGCAACTATGCGGGTACGATATTCTCGGACGACAGCGAACCGCCCCATTTTCGAACCACGTCGAGTTGGGTTCTGCATCAACAAGCCCGAATTTCGAGGCGGAAATGGGTTGATTTGGACTACCCAATGTCACCAACGGCAGTGGCGAGTACTCCCAGAACAAGACAAAACTCAGACTGCCTTACCCCGAAAGAGAGGCCACCGAAAAGGCTCTCAGAGGAGACACTCAATTAATCACTTAATGGAATCTTTGCCCAGTCTGAGCGTCACCTGGAGTTTCGCAATATACCCATCTAATAACATCGCCCCATGATTTTGCATTTGTTACTTTGTTTGATGATACGGTGATCCGACACCCACAGTAGGCGGTTTCTGAAGCATCGCGGGACTCTCGACGTCTTATTGGGAGGTTTCTGTAGACCTATTGGATTGCTATACATACTTTATAAGGCTGATCTACCACTTTTTAATCTTGAAGACAATACCATCTCGAAACGCTGCCGCCCATAAAGCGCAGATTCACTTTGCAGCTCTACCAACATATCTGTGCCTGGGTGGAAAATCATGTTCAAATACCGGTTCGCCCGCACCTCGCATGTTTGCCAGAATTGCCTCGGAAACACGATCTTGTGAATTACACACATATATATATCTATACACGACCGGTGACCCATCTGGTCCAAATAGATCTGGAACAGAATAGATCGTCTTGCTCTTTCGTCTTGCGTCCCAAAAGTACCTGCTTACATCCGGGTTGATTGACAATGAGTAGCTATCACATTCTATATGTAAATCACATCGCGGCAACGTTGAGGCTCCAGCTATGCCATCCATGCCCGTAGCCCACCGTCCACAACTGGACTCGTTCCAGTTATTTTCACGATTCAGTGGAAAACACACGGGCTGTCTCGAAGCTAGGCTACATCGTTGAACACGACAACGCTTTCCATCACGGGTGCGGACACCGTCAAGGAATGCATTCTCTGAGCCGGATATGCTGCGACTTGATGATCTCGAGCCACCTACGGTTCGCCATTGACATGAATAGAACTTGGCCAGGGGAAATAATAGTTCTTTCACTGCAACTACACGTGTGAAGTCATGAACCTGCTTTGGGCAGTAGATGTCATATTCGCCCAGCTGCAGGGGTGTTGGAATGTTTCACGCTCCATGGATCATCAGTAAGTCGAAGAACATGATTGAGATGGGACAGGAGATTTGCTTCTGCCCTTTTGGTGCGTCTCTCCCAGCAGGGACCCGGTGGACACTTCATATTTCCAACTATAGCCTACTTCAGCAAGAGTCTTCGATCCATCTCACTATGAATTATGCTATTATTCTAATCCTTGCATGCCAAATATCATTATTCTCAGTATTCCGTAATATGATAATATCCCGCTTTCGTCCCATCTGAGGTCCGATGAATGGCCCTGATAATCCGTGTCAACTCGTTTCAATAATATGCCGATCGCAGGACGTATCGATCACGCAGCATGGCCAAGGCTATCCCAGGCTTGGAAAAGTTATCCATGCCATCACCACGCGAGGATATCCAGGCCTGTGGAAACTATTTTCAAGGCTCCTTGAATGCTCCCAGTCAAGCGATCCCTGTTGGTTCCATCAAGGAGCTTGTACTCCGTATCTCTTCCCAATTCTTCCCACCTCCGTATCTATTTGCAATTTCCACATCTTTCTGCATCACAAACATTCTTCTTTCTCCGCAAAATCCACCGGGGGAGGCTGATCGCTCAATCAGCTGATAGGATCCGTTCTCTGGTTTCGAGCCATCGGCGACCCAAACCTTTTCTCTAACAAGTTGACCGGGATCATGGAGTCGGCGCGGATTATACCTCGGATAACCGATCGCACTCCCAATGCGCTGGAAATTCACCAGACCTCGTTCATACCTCTGGACGAAGCGCATCCATTCCCAGATTATACGCGAATAAGCGACACGGACATACGGGTTAACGAATACCTCTGAGCCCGTATCGGCGTCCGGCTTGCCCAGCCGCCGTTCCAAATCCGCAAATATCAGACAACATTCTGCGGCTTCCCAGAATAATTCGGGCTCGTGCCGAAACAGGAGTGAGAGTGGTTGGTGCGCAAGACCTCGAGACGTGGTCGTCGTCATCAATGGCCGTTGAAACGTGCTCTGGGCATCGAATGCTACCATTCCGCCCCAGCAGCTCCGAACTCGCACGGCATCCTTTTCGGCGAGGACGTCCCTTCGGCTTTTAGCGGTGCCGGCGGTTGAGAACCAAGGAAATAAGGGCGTGCCGATCTCGTAGCCTTCAGCATCTCTCACCACAAAGGTGTCGTAGAATTTGATTGCAGAGATAAAGTCGATAGCACACGCCGCGCGGTAGTTCGCGCGCCCTTCTGCATTGACGTTGGTCGAAAACAGCAATTGTGCTGTATCAATTGGGGAAAAGTAAACGTCGTTTAAGAAAAGGATCTTGTCAAATCTTATCAATGCGCGCCGGAAGCCGTCTGTGTTGCCCTCCAGGTTGTAAAAAGGATCCAGTGGCCGAAGGACCCGGTTGCGTACCTCTGCCAGATAAGCAATTCTCTTGATTCTCCGTTCTCCATTTGGCAATATCACGGTGGGAGGTTGAGAGAGAGGTAAATGGGCACCGGCCGCGATGGAAGAGTTGCCTAGATTCCAACTAGTCAATTCTTTCGCTGTCTAGGTACCCCAGTCACCCTCTTCTAGAAACGGGTGAATATACGAACATGGTAGCCTCTGACGGAGCTCTTGGAGTGCGGCACTCGTCCCATTTCCACCGTCATTCTCATAGATGCTGACAAAAACATTCTCCTCGCCCAATACCTCGATCAACTCCACCAAGGCAGCACCCCACGGGCCCCGAATCAGCTCTTCATTGATGATATTCGCGGCGATGAACACTTTTTCGTTATTCACGTTGCCTCGGCCGGAGTGATATGTATTCAGGATTCTTCGACGAAGCTTCTCGTAGTGCTTGGGTGGATTTTGATAGGACGGGTAGAGAATAGCCTCGCTGATCGAAACCAAAATAAATATGACGGTGAGCAAAAGTGCGAATTCAAGAGCTAGAAACCAGAGCAGTTGGTAGCAGCCTCTTGACCAACGAGACCTGGCTCGCGATCTAACGCGTTGCAGGTCCAGATAAAGAGTCCTAACTTTACATAGCCGTGCGACTCGCTTGATAGGCGATGTAATGCGCCGCGGAATTGCAAACGAGCCAGCATGGCCGCGCGGCCCGTACAACGCAGATAGCTCTATACAGCGCTCTTCATCCGGATTCAAGTGCTGCGGCAGAAATGGAACTGATGCCATTGTCCTTGGGGAGAAGCGATAGGAACACGTGGTGGTATCAAATCAAAATGTTGAAGACCTCAGCACTCATTTTTTCCCTATTAGCCAGGTTTCATACTGCTCAGCATGTTGTTGGTGAGCAATATCTTGGTGTCAGCTGGATCACAGTGCACTGTTGTCGTCAACATCATGCCTTTGGAGTCAGACCTCAGAAGATGGCGGACTACCAGCTGCCAGCAGTTCACGCCAAACGCGCTGTACTGGACAGAAAAAGCCGCAGAAGTAGTACTTTGCCCTTTGGTTCCATATCCATCAAGACTCTCCTAACTTCAGATCGATTGGAAACTCCTCTGGAGACTGTCCGTCCATCCTGAGCTTCTCCACAACATTGCATGTGAGTGACTGGAGAGATCACTGCAGATCAGACACCATGTATGCTGAAATGCCACAATAATAAACGGTTGGAGCTTCAGTGTCTGAAGCTGCAAACAAGGGAAAAATCAATCCATGTGTAGGATTCCCTACTACATTTCAGCTACGAGAGGGCTTCTGCTCCCGCCTTTGAAGTCGGTCATTGCGAGGCATTGCTTTTTCTGGTGATCGCCGCAGCAGAATATGGGACGTGATGCCGAGATGACTTGAAGGCAACCAACAATCGCAGCGGAGCTTTCCTTGCAGCCCGGAAGTCTGGAGAGCATGACTTGCCGACGTACAGACAGAGGTTGCTTTTGCAAAAGTCATCCTAGGGCCATGGAGATACAAGCTTTCTCAATAGCTGCAGCCCTGGAACCGCCTCCCCGGCCTGGCTGCTCACTCCCATCGTCTCCTGGGGTTCTGATAACTAGTTAGCTGACCCCTGACTAGCTAGTGCCAAAAAGCCAAACGGATGATCGTGACCTCCCAACTCCCTTCTCATGAAAAGTGGCATTGATATAACCACTAGTTATCCACCATAAGTCAAAATTGCTCCAAATTTGAAGCGCCAGCTTTAACTCGTATACGAAGGTAGAAACCCTCAAAGTGCAAGCCCAAAAAAAACGGAGTTGGGGCTCCAGGAGTTCCATCCTCTCGTTTCAAATCCAAGATGGAGGATGGAACAGGGCCATCCTGGGAATGGGTGGGATGCCATGCCCGGATACTGACCTACCAGACAGCGGGATGCGAAGCGTGATAAATCGGGAGGTTGAAGCTGGAGTCGTTCCCGACTCGCTGAAGCCTGTTTCTCCTCCCTGATACCCCCATTTTTTTTTTTAACGTCTCTCTTGGGCTATAATATCCAAGCGCTAGCTAGCCTCTAGTACTTCTGCAGGGACCAGAGGCAGATTCAGGCCCAGTGGCAATGTGACAGGAAGATGACGTTGGCCAACTCCATCCCGCTAACAGCTGAGGACGGATGAGTCGGACTTGGGTCGCTTTTGCAAGAAAAGAGCAATCCGGCTATCCCATGTTTTTTGAACGAGACTGACCGCTTGAGAAATTGAAGGATGCCGTTGCATACTTCGGGCCGGCAGTCATGTCACTTCCAGTCTTTTATCCGCTCGGGTCTTGTGACATTGTGATCTGTCAACACCCGAGACAGTCATCAATCGAAAAAAAATAATTAAAAAAATGGAAAAATACAAAATGCACGAGAGACAGAGACTAAGGTACGAAGAGGCATTCCTGCCTTTAGGCTATCTTCAGCCACCCAGGTTAAAGAGCATGACTCTTGCGAAACAGGGATTTTGACTGGCAGCTTCAAGCTTGCACATCCCAGACGAATCCCAGTCTGTCACCGCGCAAGCTTGGCCACCGCGAACGTCAGCTCCATAATTGAATAGCGGCTATTATTATATAACTTGTGGACATGGTTTGATGGCCAGCCGAGACCACACTATATCACACAAAGTTCAACTGAGGCCATGCGGGCCTTTCACATGGATGGAGGGCTCCATCCCTTCTCTGTGGAAGCTTGAGGTTACGCAACAGTTTCCCGACTCTTTGGTGCCATCATTTCTCAAGCTAAGGTCCGATGCATACGATCAGCGTGTCGGCAATTTTTCTTTCTTCCCTCCTTGCATGCACCTTGTTTATTTAGAGGGGAGGCCACGCTTTTGCTGCTTTTGCCCGTCGTAGGCGGAGTGTTGATTGGATATTGCATTAATGAAAGGTTTCTGTAGCGTCGATCTAAAATGAAGAAACAGATCAGCTGCAGGACCATTTCAGCCAATCGTCAGTGTTCGGATCAGTCCAGGCGTGGATCGGTATTCATCGATGTTGTGTGAAATCTATATCTTATAGGCACATAACCGAGATATATGTAAAAAACCAAGCACGCCGCGGTCGACAGATAGCTCTAGTACTGCCAATTCTGATATTCCCCGTTTTATATTGGGTGATAAGGCTGCCACACCTCGAAAATACTCCTCTGCCAAGGTGAGTGCAGGGACATGGGTACCTCCAGAAACATTCCAGGCATATGGATAACAGCCTGGGGAATAAAGTAAGATGGGGAATAGTAACATTCAATAAATCCTGGGAAGCGGATCCAAAGGACAATCTCCAAACACCAGTCTTCCAGTCTATAGTTTTAGAACCAAAGAAGGCAAGTCATAGATTAAAGAAGATAATCGCCAGAGTGACGGTCAAAACTGGACAACGGGGTATGTGCTCAAGACAAGACGTAAAACCCTGGGGGCAAGAATGAGAGAAGGTCATATTACAAGTTTTCAATGAAATGCTCCAAAAGCAGAAAGGAAACTTTTGTTGCCCGCTGAGCATACACCAAAACTCCCCGTTTCAACCGATCACATAATGTCATCGCATCGTAGAAAAGTTCGCCTCGATTAGCCGGACCCATGAAAAATGCCGTCACTAGGATTGCCAGCAATACCATAGAAAACTGATGAAAAGTGAGCTAGAGAAAGGTCAATTATCCTGAGAAGTACTCACCAAAGCGCTTGTGTAAAAGAAGATTCCAGTCAACTTTTCGCCATTAGATGCGTAGGACGCTCTCGAAGCAGTCCCAAGATATACTCCATTGCCATTGTGGATTGTAACGTCCGCAATCAGCGCTTGCATACCCGACATTGACCCACGACCACAATGAAGCGTTCATGGGGGCTTCCGCTACACCGCGCCCCCGTATTTCCATCCGTCGAAATCCGGAAGAAATGGTTGGCAGGGTCTTTGCAAGAGCTGTAGACATAAAAGTTCTTGAAGAAGTTGCACATGGTTCAAGAGGAACTTAGATCTTGACCAAATTCAGAGAATGCCGCAGAGGTCAATATCCCAGTGTATTACTAGGTACTGAAGTAGTCGAAAAATCTAGATGAGCATCTCATGTTAGAAACCCGAAGCACTGTCTGGGGGCGGTTTAATTGAGCCTTTACCTGAGAAAGCAAGTGCGGTGGTAGAAGCTGGAATGAAGATGGGATATTGAGAATCTTTTTTCATCGAAAAGCCAGGCGAGAGCGCTCTTTTGTAAGGGAGGCCAGGCCACAGCTTCCATCTGATAGAAATAACGCAGGACTAACCCGAAACCAACCAAGTTATATAACCGTTGATAGAAAGGTCTAGCGACGGGTGAGCACGAACCAGCTAGCAAAGCCAATGATCCTCTCGGGACATCTGAACTTTGTAGTGATGTGGAGATTGACCTGATTCACCCTCTGTAGATCGAAGCTAGGACTCATGAGGATCCAAGCTTTCAAGGCTGAGTTACCAATAATACACCAACCGACAGGCATTAATGCAACCGCAACATGTGGGAATGACGAAACAGAGGAGCTCAAGAGTATCCGTTGGGCTACAACAAACGCCGTCATCGAAAGTGTTGAAGAGCTTGAAGGACGCGTGGGGGCTCATGGCAACGGGGAATCTGAGCTAGTTCCCGTAAAAAAGATTGCAGAGTTGCTAAGTTCCTGATCTTATTAGACAGTACGCCTCATATGAAACATCCTGATCGCAATGTCGGCTGCTCGCTGAGCGTTGCGACTTTCTTCATGTTGGAAAGCACGGACATACAGTAAAAATAACCAATGACAGTGGGCCTAGCATAAAATATGGATACCCGGGACGGTCCCATCTGGCTACCTCGGCGTCGGATAGGCACTTTTCCTAGAGTATCAGCTTTCACGCCTTGCAGCGACGGGCATAAACTTCTGGCGCCAGAGCATTTCTCTGCCTACATCCGGTCACCTTTCGGCCCAGCCGAGATTAACCACACGAGAAGTGCACGAAAGAGAGGCAGATTTTGAATCAGCATCTCTCTGCAGGCGGCGCTCGGACGTTTTATAGGAGTCCCATTGCGGATCCAAGGATATCCGGGAACGTCCAAGAAAAGAAGAGGTGCAGCAGCATTGCTGTCTCAAACCATGAGTATGATAGGACTGACGTGGTTGGTCATGTTCGGAAGGAAGCGCAGCCTGGAATTTTGGTCGTTGGAATGGCGTGATTTCTAGAAGATCCAAGGGCATGACTGAATTAAAGACATTGATCCTGGAACCTAGTCTTGAAGGGAATCTGGAATGTTTCTGCATGCGCTTTGACATATATCTGACTCGGAGAGAGAGGATCGAAGGCCATCATTTTCATTAGAAAGACCCGATCATTGGACCGCAACCCACCATCTCCCAACCTGGCCCTGTCAACTCTGAAATTTGGGGATCATTGATCGGAGCCCAGAGGGCACTGGCAGGATAATTCCCGCACTGGTTCGAAGAAAACTGCTAGGAAGGGAGAGCGCTCTCTGCAGCAGCTCACTACTACGCGTCGGGGGCATTCGGAAATGAACCAAGAGCAGCTTGATTAGCATGTATGAAGGGGTACCCATGCAGTTTAATGAAAGCAGAGTGTTAGAAAGGCTCTTGAAATGCCAATCTAGCACCAATGCTAAGACCAGAGAAACCGACTCACACACTGAGCATAAACCACGGGTCCATGGCGAGTGCTCCGGGTAATAATATAGCAGTGATATTAATGCTCGATCAAACTGCCAGAGCATCAATTGTCGAAAATGCCTAAAGCGGTTTAGCGTCGCGCCAGGAATGTGTCAGGCTCACAAGGTTTACGCTAGTTTATTTTGGGCCTAGCGGGCTATTTAGATTACATCAGCAACCTTAACCTAAAGCAGCAGCCAGGCTAGTCCCGAAGCGGCAACTCCAATGTCTGCCGACTCCCTGCGTCAACAATCCCCAACCTCCATCGTCGTCGGCGTCGTCGTTGCTCCCATCGTTCGTTGATAAACCGCCATCGTCTCTACTGCTATATGCATTCGCTCGTTTAAACACCTTGTATCGGCGCCTCTGCTTTGCCCACCCCCGCATCAGCTGACTCGACACCGTCGCTGCCGTCGTTGCACACCCCGCGCTTTTCTTCCCATCTCATCTTCGGCCCGGCCCACGGAGGTGTACCGTAATCGGGCGCCATGGGGTTTGGCGAGTTTGACTCCCTGTGCCGAAAGGCAGCAATACCTTTGTGCTCTCTTATCGGGCCCGAATCGTCATTCTCTGGCACGAGGGGGATTTTGCCAAATTGCTATGCAAGGAATATTGAGGTTGCCAACACGATTATTTTCCAGGGCGCCACAGATGTGATGCATATCATAGCGTTAGGCATGACTGCTATCATGATTATCCACGTACGCTCAAAGTTCACCGCCGTTGGTATGTCTATTCGCATTGCAGTAATGAGCAATTAATCATGGTTTTCGGTTGGCACTAACGACTGCGTCTCATCCGTGTTACAGGACGCAAGGAAATTATTACGTTCTTCTATCTCTATATGGCATTGACGATGTGTTCTCTCGTTTTGGATTCTGGTGTTGCGCCCCCTGGAAGCGCGGTCTTTCCGTACTTTGCCGCTGTTCAGAATGGCTTAGCCTCTGCTCTGTGCACTTGTTTGTTGATAAACGGATTTGTCGGGTTCCAGCTCTACGAGGATGGGACGACCCTTTCTGTCTGGCTCCTACGTCTCACCTCCCTTGGGATGTTCATTGTCTCGGGTGCCGTCTCACTCCTGACATTCAAGTCTTGGGCCGGGTTATCTCCCACCAATACTATCGGCCTGTTCGTCGTGGTCTATATTTTAAGCGCCCTGTGCTTGTTTGTCTACGTCGTCATGCAGATTATCCTGGTGGTGAACACGCTCCAGGATCGGTGGCCATTGGGGCACATCACCTTTGGCGTATTGATTTTCGTTATCGGGCAGGTTATACTTTACTCTTTCAGCGATATGATCTGCGAAGGTGTTCAGCATTACTTGGATGGAATGTTCTTTGTGACTTTCTGCAATCTACTTGCCGTCATGATGATCTACAAAGTAAGCCATACCCCGCTGTCGTCATTCTACATCACACTGACATCGCACTAGTACTGGGACTCAATCACAAAGGAAGATCTCGAATTCTCCGTGGGCTTGAAGCAAAACAACTGGGAGGTCAAAGAACTTCTCCCTGAAGAAGATCGCAGAGCAACTGTGTACCTCGATACGAACTCAGAATACGCAGGGAGCGTGTATCACCATCGCTCATCCACTTATGGTGGGCAATCCAACTATTGAAAACTTTTATATATATAGCGTCTTTTTTGTGACTGGACCTCACACGGTGATTACCGTACATACTCTGGCATCCTTCGATTCTTTTTGGGAAATTAGCCTGCACCCAATACTTCTTCAGCTCGACCTCCCCACCTTTTATCATACTATGATGTCCTTCATACTTGACCAACCCCCCCAAAAACCTTCTTCTATGAATTCCTTTACTGGCGCAGATTGGTCCTGGCTGGGCTTTCACACTTGCTTTCAGCGTTTTTTCTTGTCCATTGCCTTTTGTCTGTACATACGTCTTCTTCACGAGTCTGCAAGCCCATGGCCTCTTTTCCTTATAATCTTAATAAATAATCAACATTCTAAACCAAATATATTATTTGAACATATACAAAACCCCCAATCGTCGGAACGGGTATCTTTACTAGAGAATAGCAACGTCATCAGAAACCAGGTCCCCACCTGCTGCGCCTTGCTCCTTGTTCCCAGACCCATTATCCCAAACACCAGTGGTAGAGTACCACCCCTTATCAACCCATGCGGCTACCAGGTCCCTAGCGCGATGCGCCATTTCATAAAACCCCGAATTATCCGGCGGCAAAAACATAGTCATATGTGCCTTCGTCTCATCTGCAGCCCTATCATTCACCGCCTCAATCCACTCCATCCCCATCTCCTTCGACTCACCACCCCGCGTCCTCTCCTCCTCCTCTCCTCCCTCCACATCCCTAGGCAAATTACAAAACGTGCGCACCTTCGACCTCAGGATATGCCTACTGATCGAAAACCGCTGCCCACCATCGCCCTTTTCCCCCGTCACATCCGACGGAACCGTCACCGCCCCACGGCCCAGACGCGTGTAGATATTCGCACACCCCAACCCTCGCTCCCTGCGCAGCTGCGTGATACCCGCGAGCCGCCGCCGCAGCTCCTCCGGACGGGCCAGGCACCCGACAAATTCGAGATGTGAGGTTGCCCAGGTCCAGCCCTCGAGGAAGCGGTCGCGCTGGGTATATAGTGCTGCGGCCCCGCCTGCAGCCACGGCGCCTGCGGCGCCGGCGAACATGGCGTAGCGGCCCCAGCGTTGCCAGGAGGGGGTTGCAGCGGCGTCGTGGGTGGTTGCTGGGGCGGGGAGGGAGGGTGGGTTATTTCCGGGACCTTGCGGCCTGGCGGTGGCGGCGGTGCTGGTGCTGGTGCTGGTGTTGGTGTTGCTTGCCTTCCAGCCAAATACGTTTGCGACCTCTGAGATTGCGCCGTAGGCGGCGGAGGCTGTTTTGTAGTGGTTTTCAGCAGTGTAGGAGACCGTTCCGGGCGAGATGCCAAGGAAGGGCGTGTCAAAGGCCAGGAGGCCTTGGATGTGTGGGAACATGAATGTATTGGGCTGAATGCGGTCGTGGCATTGCTGCGTCTCAGCCGCGCTCGATGAGGATTTCGTAGAGGGGAGTAATTGTTCCGAGGCGAGTAGGTTTATGGTCTCTGCGCCGACCATTCCGCCCATGGAATGCCCAATGAGGATGACATGGACGGATGGATCGACGGTGGGTGAGGGCGTGTGGTTGGAGACTTCGATGTCTATCACGATGTTCTGAAGCCTGTTTTCCTCTTTGATGTTAGCTCATGCACTGCGCCGGGCTCTTGGGAAACTGTGATTATCTTGTCCGGATGGGGAAGTGTGACCATTCTCTGAACCTCTCGACGCATTCCCGCAAATCGCCGCGGGTCTCGAACTTGGGATATGTCACCGCGACAATGTCGATGTTGGGCAAGACATGGCTGGTGATGGCGCGGAGATGCGCGGGGAAGTTGCCAAAGGTGTCGTCTCCGCCCTGAAGGTGTGACCGTGATCAGCGTGGATTGTTGCAGTGTGGAAGAGGGGAAGAAGGTACCTTGAACCCGTGGATGAAGACGAGGAGCAGAGTCTTCTTCATCCTACATTATCTGCGCTGTCTGTGTGACTGAAGCCTCAGTACTCCGCTGGGATGATTCAAGCCAACCACGTCTGTCGATGAAGGACGGATGCAGTGCGGATATCTAGATTACGTCATGATCTTGATCCCTTCCTATGGACACACTCATTCACGGCATGATCTCTATCTACAGTATCATTTTGTAGTGTCCACCACGATTAGATCACCGAGAAATGTGGTTACCACTCCTCAGGGTGACTCTCATAGTTGTACCCTTGCCGTCGGTTCCCGCATAAACCAAGGACGCATCATACCAGCAGGCTATATAGAGAAGCATAGAGAAGTACAAAGAATCACCTGTATCATCCACGTAGTATTGGTACGGAAGTTAGGGGAAGAGCCAGGTAGTATTTCTCAATCTCACCCGCACACCACTTTTCTTCCCGAACCGCTTGCCATGGAGAACCGACAGTATTAGCGAAATACCCCGAAAGGTTCCACAAAGAGGCATGACGGAAGGGCCGGTATATAGGTTCTATACCACGCGGGAGAGATGTGGTTCCGTATGAGTATCACACAACCAAGCTTCAGTGGACGACATGGACAGAAGAAACTGTAGCCTGCCAGGTTAGTATCAAACAGCCTATAACTTGCGTGCATTCATAAACACCTCCCGTTACCAAATAGGAAATAGTGGCGAATATATCGTCAAACAATCCTGTCTTCAATGACCTTAAACCTCCGAAGTACCCGCCCGTGAGCCTCAGGAAACCACATTGGCCTCGTCCCAGGAATGTATCCGACGAGCTTGTCTAACACGTCGTAACCCTCGCAAGGACCACATCCATCAGGCTTCCACTCCCAAATCGCCCAAGAACGAGTGACAATTCGCGCCCGGCACAACGCTCATCAACGACGGAATGTTTTCCAAACCGCCTTGTAATCCAGATAAGGGCGATTCGTGCTGGATCCATCGGCGCAGCGAAGTCGTCATACCAATGGGTTGCTGTCAAATATATGTATCACCGTAAATCGTACTGGTTCGTCATGATAGTTGCAGCTTGAGATTCTTTTTTGGCAAAGGGCTGGAGCAAACAATTGTGGTTTCGGGGTATTAACCGGTAGTTAACGAGCAGCTTCCATTGAGAGCTGCTGTTCGGAATTGATATCTTCCGCTACAGTGTGTGACCAGCGAAACAACCGATGGGTTTATCCTGCCAATAGTGCAACGCCGACAGAGTCGTACAGAGATCAGATCTTGGGGCGTGAGTCAATAAACCCCATTGAACTCTCAATCATGATCCCGTAGTTGTGTCAGTGATATAGTGATAGACATGGCCCAATCCTCAATGTGTGCGTATTGTGGACAGCTTGGGTCACAGTGAGGCGGCCACAAAGGGGTGAAGACAGAAAGGCAAATCGGCTGAGCCTCGCAATGCAAGACCACATCCGTTCGTTTCTCAATCAGGATCCTTCCCCGAAGGCTATGTCGAGAAGGCGGCCAAACCGTGACACTTCCTGGCTCGCTAAACAAACAACAAGAGAGAAAGGCACCTGCTCGTACCCCGTTCAAAGTGTAGCCGCCCAACCCAGAACAGCGTGCTACAGGGATCCATTGGCCTCAACTACTTCGGTGAACAAGAAGAAAGAAAATTCTTGTTTCAAACAAAGTATATACTGTACGTACGTGTGCTTGCTGACGGCGTGATTCCGCCCGAGACGGCTAAACGATACAATTATCAAAAATCCGATAAAGATTTCCGAGCCAGGAAGAACGGGATGCCCAGCAAGATTTCATCTCGACAAGGCTTTTCCCAAGGGAATATCACGGCGTGTTATAGGTAAAATTCCAAAAGCGACGAATCCATAGACGACCGGCCTTTATCACAAACGCAAGCTGGTTGATACGACTGATAATGAGCTAGGAAACAAATAGTTAATGGCGATTTGTTCTCCGCAGCAACGAAGAAGAATTCAAGCAATGACAAGAGATAATTTCCCTTGCAACAGAAATTCAACCCCCGTAAACCCAGTTTCTAGAGATCCGCGTGTTCTGCGGTGGGATCATGCTGTCCATGGGGGCGGTTAATCATGCCACTGTTGGATGCCCGCTGCCATTGGAGAATGGGATCGTTTGGACTGGCAGGGTGATGTACGGGGAAGTCAGCTAAAACAAGCGTGTTCGAAGATGAAGAATGAGACCAAGGAAGACCCCAAAAGTATTATGCTTCACATCAGTGATGTTGGGACACGGTTGGGGGGCTTAACAGCCAGAGCACCGCCCGGTCCTGATATCCCTACACTCGCGTCTCATCATGTTTCTTCCTCTGTCCCGGGGATGGCTTCTCGAATGCGAAGAGAAAAGAACAAGCTCAACAGGGCTTTTTCACCCCCAAAACATGTGAAGCGAGCTCCATTCTCCCCATTCTGGCCGAACAATGCTGGCAAGGGATAATCGCGAGGGCTGCCCGGGATTGGGGGTTCATCAGCTAATAACTGACTAGTTAGTTACCTGTGATCTCCCCCCAGTCCCTCCCGGGCTCGCGAACAGAATTCCTGGACGCGGAAACCCAAACAGGGGGTTGGGAATGAGTTCGCGTGCGCCCATGACGGAGTCTGGCTGCTTTCATCCCCGTGCCTTGCAGTCGCTGATAAGTTAATCAAAGGATTCCAGCACTCGATGATCAGAGACAAGAGACCTCCTGAGGTCCGCATCGCTTGGATCCTGAGGCGGCTTGTGTCGAGGTTTTGTTACTCCCAAGTCGTATACATATACGACAACTGTTGGAACGAACAGCCATCCGATCAATTTCCAACCGTGATTTGGCTGCGCACTAAAAATAAATTAAAAAAAGAAGAGGAAGCGCATGAAGGGGTCCGTCTTCCTCATGCCGCTACGGGGAAGCGTTGCGCCTGCATTTTGCCCATGTGCGTCCGGAGTTTGGCAGGGGAGCTCAATATGGCAGAAGCTCTGAACCGATATTGCATTGATTAATTAGTTGATACTCTAAAATATGGAGGATCGATTTGAGACAGATCTGACGGTGTGCTATCCGAGACACTTGTAGACTGGCCCCAATCCTTCCGCGAATGTATTTCGAAACCTGTCTCAGCGTGTGCTGTAGCAAGACGACTGCATCATCGTCGTTCTCGCCTTACGATCCCACACATAAACCGAAATCCCATCCGTTGGCAAGGTTTCATTCTCACAGGTTTGAAAGCTCGTATGTTTCATCAAAAGCGGGATATTGGCTCGGTCTTCTTCCGCCTGATCTCTTGAAGCTCACATCTTATCAATCTGCAAAGCCTTGCCCACCCGTTGAATTCCTTTCCTCTTCATCTGTCCCGGAAAGACATGCTTCTATCGCTATCCCACACAACACGAGCTTCTTACTCTCACACGCCGCGAAACCCTTGCTGATCTCTTCGGATCACGTTGCAAACGAACAAACAGACTACCTAGGACCGGCGTCAATAATAAACGGTGGTGTGTGCACCAAGGGGATACCCCTAAACCGGGAGAGACAAGTTCCCTACTTCTCATTCCATGCGAGATCATCGATCAACAGCTCAGTTCGATCCGCAGCGCCCGAGAACCCAGCAGGCAGAAACAAGGGCGGAGCTTTTTTTTTTCTTTCTTCTCTTCAAGCTGAACATGCAAGGTTTCGCTCCGGTGGGATTTGATTCTTTTTTTTTCAAAGGCGATTTGCATCTCAGCTGTTGTGAACTGGCTCTGATTTTCCCTCGGTCTGATTTCACACTGCAACCCTTATTCCTTTCTCAGGCTCACGCAGCCGCCGGGAACCCAGGGATTGTCGCTTGGCGATGTTGCACCTGTGCACCTCGATCCTTGCTGGGGAACGGAGTTGTCTTGGGCTTCGAGACCCGGGAGAGAAGCGCCGGTGTCTCCTTTGCTGCATCGTGGATACATCAGCTGTGGGTGGGGGGAATGCGGGCATTGCGGGCTGCAAATCCTTTTTTTGCTGATCGATTGAAATCAGCGGTTAATCAAGTCCTCTCTTTGGTTCAAGGGAGAAGAAGAAAGGAAAATAGATTAATCAAAAGTGAAAAATGCGAGGCATCGTGATCATTGATGGGTGTCCTTTCTGATGTTAGGATCTTCCTCATGACGATCTGATCAGCTCTCCGCGTCACGTCTTCTTTCTCATTATCCTCTTCAGTGGGACAAGCACGCCGGCCAGAAATCTCGCCCTGCATACGCCGAACACAGCAGAGCAAAAGCTGAATCAGATACCCGGTCAAACAGGTCAAGTTCAACTTTTTCCATAAAATTTCTCGAAACGATGAGCCAACCACAAACCTGGATACGAGGATCCGTCATTCGCCGGGTCTCTGCTTGCATCTGCCGGATCTAGAACCGTGTCCCTCCGTAACTTGGTCGAGATCTTCACAAACGTTGAAACTAATAGCTGGGGCTACATAAGATGGAGCTCGCAAAGCAAAAGCAAACCGGGCCATGGGATGAGGATTGTCCCATCGTTTCCATATAGTTCCACCAGGCCGCGTACATACATGAAATGGTGATTGGGAAAACAGGGTCAAGCAACATTTACATGCATGCTCTTCCTGACATGGGCGGGGATGAGTGCGTTCATTTGCTCAACGATCAATTTTGAAAGTGTGTGGATGTTTTTTTTTTTTTTTTTTCAATATTTTGGGGCCATGCATGAGTTGCTCATGGGATGGAAGCATGGGACTGTGGGAGATACAAAATCAGCCCAGCCCAAACAGCGCCCATCCCCGCCAGCCTGCTCACGATGCTATCGACATACATCTCGGGTTTGCTAAGCGATGCCTAAAAGAAAAAGAAGAAAGTTCACTTGTCGGCCGGAGCAGGTGGACGAAGTAGTTACATCCTTCCACACGAAGGCAAAAAACGGCACATACTCCGTAGATGGGAATTAATACAGCAGGGTCCCTTATCCGAATCGTTAGGCAGTTCCCATATCTTAAAGATCCATTATTTGTCACAAAAGGACAATCTGCGAGTTGTCATTTTTCATTCAACGCTGCGCTTTCGGGATTCGCTTCCCGGTCATATCCTGTCCGGTCCGGGTCGCATGGCAACGTTTCCCAGCCGTCGGTGACACATTTCGAAATGATTTCTAACCCAATCGCGCAACGGCGTTTGGATGTGCCACTTGATCAATCGCCCGTTTGACAGGTGGTGTACAATATGTACACGCAGGACATGGTGGCTACATCTGGGTCCCTCTGTTCTCTCGCAGCGATCAGCGTTGGAAAGCCAAAGGCAAGAAACGAGACATTTGTCCCTGCGCCTCTTCATGGTGACGCGCTTGTACTCTGTGCTGGGGGACTCAGATGATCCGTCAGACATATGTAGCTTTTCTCATGTCAACTTTCAATTAGCTATTGACTTCGCCTCAAAATCGGCATAACCAAAGCGGTAATCTACATCAAAAAAGATCCCAACGGGAGAATTCCACATCTCATCCCTGGATCGGCGAAAGATTTGTGGGTGTTGGCAAAATTTTCGCAGCATCCCTTTTAGATTTTGATTTTTTTCCCTCGTTGCACTGCGCACCCTCCCCTCATGCCTGTGTCCTTGAGGCATAAGCACGCAAGACCATGTTTCAAAAAGGACAAGCGAGGTTTTGCTTCATGTCCAAACAACCCGGGACCGGCAGGCTGGCGAGCACGAATCCATCCACAAGCCCTTTCTTCTCTCCCACTCGCGGGAAACAACAAGGTTCAGCCTGGCCTGACTTTCCTTTGCAACAAGACGCTGTTTGTTTCCGGCTCTCCACCGCAGGTTTGGGCTGTGGTTGTTTTGCCTGAAGTGGCTTGCCCTGCTTATCCGGAGTTGGTTTGCTGTTCGTCGCGCCCACATGAAATAAATGCCGAATCCTAACCGGGCAAATCCCACTTGGACAAACTGGAAGAGCGGGAAAGAAAAAATAAAATAAAATAACAAAAAAAACCTTGCGCCGCAAGCGACCAACCTTCACATTGGGCCTGGGATCATGGTCCTCGATCAAAGGAAAGTTGAACGCATCTTGAAGGAGTGTTGCTCATGGAAAAGATCTCAAGAACAAAACTCGGTGAAGCCCAGATGTTTGTTGTTGCATGGTTGGCCGGAAGATCCAATCAATAATATATCTCAAAATTGAAGCCAGGAATCTCACATGCGCTAGTTAGTTGATTAGTTTTCTCAAACACGGAAGCTGTTCAATGACAAGTCCAGAAATACGGAGTTTGTCGGGCCAAAAGCAAAGTAGATTCCCATGGGTCCGTCGTCGCGTTGCGCGCGCGCGCGCGTCGAGAACACATGCAAGTCCCAGCTTCGGTTAGAATGATGATACTGATGATGCTGATGATTTGCCTGGGTCTTGGGCCAGAGGATGGAGCATGCATGCAACTTGGGTTCAGCCACCTTGCCCTCCATTATTGCACCAGACACTTGCCGATGGCCTGGGTTTCCCGTCAACAAGACGCTTCATGTGGTTTCAACACGGGTTTAATTGATCAATGTTGTAACCTTGTGATTCTTGTTCGGAGATTGAGAAACCTTGGGATTATGAGAAAAGGACAAGAAAAACAAGACCCGCCTCTGCCCAGTGATATCGTAATCTATGGATACAGCTCTGCCTGGGTGAAGCAAGCTGGAAGCCCGAAGAAGTCAGTCACGTCAGCCAGCGTGAGTTGACAAGGCCAAAGGCGGGACTGAAGGAACACTGCTCCGAGGGCAAGGGTCCCGCGGTCAAATCGCCAAAGCAGCAGCTGTCACTTTGCGTATCCTGTATCAGGAGTGTATCGCACTAAGTGCACAGGACTATTCGCCCCTCGCTGATTCGCAGAGCAGGCGAGCCAATGGCAGCGCCGATCACCCCGAGCTGAGCCGCGTAACCGCGCTAAGATTCAGCGGACAAAGCATTACCTAACCCTTGGGGCCATGTAATAATACGCATCACGCCGGTCATAACACTGTCCGGACAAAACCCGCCCCCTCCCCAACTCTCCAAGTTTCCAACGCTGGCGCCGCAAATGTACCGCATCAGCGAGGGCCAGACACGGCTGGGCAAGCGAACATGTCCTTTGCCAGTGGGTTGGCCAACGCCAAGCGGACACCCAGGGGAGTCCCACAAGCAAAAACCGATGGAGGACGTAAAGTGCAAAAATCCAAAAAAAAAAAAAAAGAGTGCTCCCCGTAATTGCGCGCGTTGGGTTTCCCATGCCAGAATCGATGGCTCACCTGACAATCATTCGTCATTGGGAGTCGAAAACGGGCATCCGTCAGATCTCCAGGCGTGACTTGTGCTGGATGGGCGGTGTTGTGGCCCATTCTTCCTCCCTGTTGGACCCGGTCAATTAATGCCCTTTTCGAATCATGTCACGCCTGCGACCTGAGTGCCAGATCTTCGCTTTGCTTGGGATGACCCCATCAATCTTACGCGCTGTCACTTGATTACAGCGTTACATGGGCCCAAGCAAACCGTACCGACGCTTCAAAGTTGGGAAGAGGCTGTGCGGGGTCTGATTGGCCACTGCCGGGTAGGATACGAACTGATACCAGGTTTCAAGGGCAGCCTGGGATTGAAAATTACACGCCCTTTTCCACCCTTTCCTGCTTTGCTTGGGATGGCGGGCGGGCAACACACACAAGTTCGAACCACCGACGGGCTGAACGACTCAAAAGGACCACCAACCTTACCATGTGGGCTGGGGGAGGGGGGAGAATGATACATCGCATTTCCCCATTTCACCTGCAGCAAGCACCATCATTTTGCCCCAAATCATAATTCTGATCCTGCTTCCCGAACGCAACGCCTTGCGAGTCCAGGCCAAAACAGGCTGCTTTTCCCACAGCCCCGGCAAATCTCTGGAAAGGATGAGGGAGAAAGGGAGAGGATGAAGATGCCAACGCTAAAGAGGGATGAACTGCACGCGGGCGAATGATATACTTGAGCTTCGCCAACGGGACAGACTGGATGGAGTCATCATGGGTTTTCCGGTGAGACAACTTCTTCAAAGCCCCTTCACACCACGCTTGTTCTTTGATGTGGTTGATCGATGGGCGTAACACGGGTCACATCCCCATCGCCCTGGTGGGATCTTAAAAGTGCGCATTTGTCGGGGACTACGGACGCTTGCAACACAGACTATGATGTCCATCACTTGGTCGATGCCAAAAAAAAAAGAGCGCTACGCTACCATGAACCCCGAAATGAGGACGCGAGCTGAGAGAGTTTTTTGAAATCCGAATGCTGTCCAGAGAATGCTTGGTGCATCCATCTTCATCTGGAGCCAAGGAAACGTAACAAAGATTGCCTGGAAGGCCAGATGTAAAGAAAAAAAAACATTCCCTTAGATGCACATTACTTCCTTTGTGCTCAGGCCCGTGATCGTTGATTCTGACTCTCCATTCGGCGTTTTGAATCCAGCCAGGGAACAAGCCCCCCAGACACTAGAATGCTGCAACTAAGTTCCGCCCAGTCACCAAAGGGAGGAGACGATGTCGATAATCTCCCCTTTCAAATCATAAATGACGAGAGACAGGAAATCAAGATTGGGGGTGAAGCGGATCGCGATGATGATAGGATTATGGATTATTGAGAAGGAAAAGGACCCGGCAAGGACCCATGACCAGCCAACTCCTTACCAGCACAAGGTTGGTTTCGGCGCAATGAAGCTGGAGGGCAACTCCCAACCCAAGCAATCAAATATGTTCTTTCATGAGTTGAGAGTGATACCTCCTGCGAGTTCCAGGCCAGGCGCACCGAAAGGGTGTGTGTGTGTGTACCCGCTTGTTCCTGCTGCCCGTCACTCATCGCCCGTCTCGCACTGTCAACCCACGATGACCGACCGTAAATCTTCTCACCCGAAAGGCAAATAAAAAGGGATCACGCATGTTGAGCTTTTTATTTCGGGGACGCTGCAGCCTCAGGAAGGGGAGCAGTAATAATCATCCCAAGTCGGTTGGGTCGCAGGCAAAGGACGAGAGCGTACCGAAGCATGTCTCGTAATCGTACAGGTAATACGTGACATGACCGAACAGTACCAGGGATACAGACTAACGATCGCAAACCCCACCTGCTGACATCAACGCACGCTAAACCCCTTTCTTCTCGCTGCTCCTTTCTCCTTCATCCGCTTCTTTTCGCCTTCAAGAGACTGCATGGATGGCGAAAAGGCGAGATGGGGAACCGCAAACCGCATCAAAGCCCAAGGACAACCGATCAGCCCTTTCTTCTGGTCCGCTGTGGCCCTGTTTCTGGGTCAAACTTCCGCCAACTGCCTGTGAGAACCAGGGTGAAGCAGAGCAAGCGCAGAATAAGTGGTGGCTGGCATTAATTTGCTAAAACATTTCCATCCCCAAAGATACTTGCCTGTTACGAGACAAGAGGATCATGGATGCAAGAGAGGTTGTTCCATCTTCCTGCTGGTCGGCCTGTCCTTTTTTTTTTTTCTTTTCTGGTCTAAAACGCCTTGTTCCTCGGTCTGGCCTATTGAATTATGAGGTATAATTCTTTTTCCTTTTTTCCTTCTTGAATTCTCTTTTTGCCCTTTTCAGTTGCCATCCGTAACTCCCTACTCCGTAGTGAGACCCTCTTTCTTTAGTATGACCCCGTAGCCTGGGATGATATCCATACACCCGAAGTACCACATCTTACTACTCCCGACTATTAGTAACGACGACTTGCTGGTCGTCACTCCGTTTCCTCTTCTCCCTTTTTGAGTTTGACGCCGGAAGAGAGCCATGCAGTGCTGCTGTCACTAACCTCGTTTCCGTGGTGGGCTATCACCATGGTTGAATCTATATGTGAGACTTCACGTCCAACAAATAATCATGCCGAGAAGCTTTCCCACGCCGGACTTTGCCTGACTCCACCCGGGCTTGCTGTGCTGCTGGCGTCTTCACCTCTTTTTGATACTCGTGAACTTGTTAATTAAATTGCCGCCTTCATTGACGGACTCCATTATTCACTCTTCCTGCTGAATGCTGAACTCTTTTTGTTTCCGTCATCGTCCCTGATCCACTTCGTTCTCTCTTTTTTTCACTCCGTTCGAGGCATGGTCCGTCCTCCACCCCTCTGCAAAGTGACCGGACCCTGTGTTGCTCACTTTGCGGGCTTCGAATGCACTCTGCCTTCCTTTTGTCCTCGTCATTCTTCCTCTTCTTACCGTCTTGCCCCAACCGCCTCGCCCATGGGTTGATTCTCCATTGGCTTTCCCTTCAAGCTTCCTCTCTCCTTCCCTCACCTCCCGCCTTCTCCGTTCACTACTCCTGCTTCCAACCTTCTGTCCTCGGCTCCCCATGATCGATACGCTGCTCCGCCGCCCGCCTTCCCCTCGATTCTCCGTTTCTACACCCTCTGCTCGAACTCTCCCGCCGTGTCCTGTAGGGAACCAGCCCGACAAGCTCCTGTCCTCCGCGAATGCCGTGACCTCGTCGTCGAACTTCCACTACGGTTTATCCACCCCACCAGAGGACATGACTGACCTGGCATACCCAGTCAGTCATGGAGGCCATGTCTACCGATTTCCGGGCTCGTTGCACTCCGATTTCAACAACCTCCCAATGGCTCCCATGGCCAACGATAATACAAGTGTCCTCTCTCAGGGCTCGCGCCAACAGCAACCTCCGTCGTTGACAAGTCAGTTACCGGACTGTGAGCCAAAGCCAGCCAAGGAGAGTTCCATTGCTATATATCTCCAGGTTCCATCCTCCATATGTGAGAACGGAGGTAGTTTGGCCGATTTTGCTGCTCAGGTGAGGAGTGCATACATGACTACCGCTCTTCTTTTCTGACTTGCTCTCCTCAATAGATAACCTGTCTCTTCTGGTTTGCCAAGGCTTCAAAGGTCAAGCAGATTGAAGATGGAGCGTCGTCGCCATTCTTGCCCCCTCCTCCCCTGGATCCGGAGTCAATACCGAGCATTGGTTTCAGGAAATGGATGACTACGATACTCTCGACCACACAGGTTAGCCGGAATGTCGTGCTGTTGGCCTTGTTGTTCATATACCGGTTGAAGAAGTTTAACCCTTCCGTGAGGGGTAAGCGGGGTAGTGAATTCCGATTGATGACAATTGCCTTGATGATGGGGAATAAATGTAGGTGGTGGCCCTTTTTGGAAGAAAACAGCGGGGAAAGTGGCTGATTCACGCTTCTTTTTTTGCAGTTCTTGATGACAATACCTACACGAACAAAACCTGGGCTGAGGTATCCGGTATATCGATCAAGGAAATCCACGTGATGGAGGTGGAATTCCTCAGCAATGTGCGTTACAACCTTTTTGTGACAAAGGAGGAATGGGAAAAGTGGTATCTGAGGTTGCGGGTGTTTGCAAAATATTTCGATCGCGCCCCTACCATTTCCCCGAATACGTCGCCGCAACAACCCAGAGTACCGTTTTACTCGGCGTCTCCATCATACTCTCCAATATCTGCCGGTCTGGCCCAGGCAAAGGTTCCAACTCTACCCCTGCCATACACGATTCCTTCCGGCCCAGTTCACAACCTCCCAATGGTCCGTCCTCCGCCTGTGATGGAGCCTTCCATAGCAAACCGAAAGCGAAGTTGGGACGAGCAGGCAGAAGAACACCCATCTAAGAAGCGAGCAGGTCCAAACAGCTGGGCACAGGCACCGCTACCCCAAACTGGGCATCCTCCGCTTGCACATCAACTCCCGGCGCCTACCTATAGTGGATTGTCCGCGATGCCGACTGGAAATATACAGGTTTCCGTTACCCTGCCGCCACCCTCGGTTTCGCAATTGCCTACGCCTGCTTTGACCGTCTGCTCTAATCCCACGCATCCCACTCCCGTCACTTTCCCGAATCAGCTACCTCTCCCTGTGG